ACTTATTTTCAGTCCCTTTCTTGAACTCAATAGTAAAATCAAAGGCCATCAATTTAGAAATACCAACAACTTGAAAATCAGTATGAATACTTTGTTCCAGGAGATGTTTTAGTGCCTTTTGATCAGTTCTCACAATGAAATGTCTTCCTAATAGGTAATGAGACCACTTAGTAACTGCAAATGATGGCTAATAGCTCTCTATCATACACACACATAGCCTGATGTCGAGGTGTCAATGACTTACTAATATAGGCAATTGGATGCCCTTGCTGCATCAAGACAGCACCAATTCCTGAACCACTTGCATCAGTCTCAATTATGAATGGTTTATCATAGTCTGGTAATGCTAAGACAGGTGCAGTCACTAGTGCATTTTTGAGAACATAAAAGCTATAGTAGCACCCTCATTCCACACAAACTTATCCTTTTTTAATAATTCAGTGAGAGGTTTAGCAATGGATCCAAAATTCAGAATGAACCTCCTATAATATGTTGTTAAACCAAGAAACCCTCTCAGTTGTTTGATATTTGTAGGGACAGACCAAGCCTGTACTGCAGAAATCTTCTTAGGATCAGTGGCTACCCCTTTAGCACTGATGAAATGACCTAGGTACTCTACCTCAGGTACCCCAAAAGCACACTTAGAACCTTTGGCAAACAACTGATGTTGCTTCATCAATTCAAACACAGCTTGTAAATGGTTCACATGGGCTGACATATTCTTGCTGTACACCAATATATCATAAAAAAAACCAGTACTGACCTCCTGAGGAGGAGTGGTTTAAATATAGCATTCATAAGACTCTGAAATGAAGAAGGTGCATTTGTAAGGCCAAATGGCATAACCAAAAATTCATAATGTCCTTCATGAGTTTTAAAAGCTGTCTTATACATATCTGTTTCCTTCATCCTTAATTGGTGGTAACCAGCTCTAAGATCAATCTTAGAGAACACTTCAGCTCTTCCTAGTTCATTTAACAAATCCTCAATTATAGGAATAGGAAACTTGTCATTTACTGTCAGTTTGTTGAGATCTCTATAGTCTACACAAAGCCTCCAACTCCCATCTTTCTTCCCAACAAGGACTACAGGTGAGGCATAGGGACTAGAACTAGGTTGTATCACACCTTGATCTAACATTTCCTATACTAGCTTCTCAATAATATATTTCTTCATTCCAGGATATCTATAAGGCCTTTTGTTAACAGGAGTAGCTGAGTCAATGAATGGAATTTTGTGATCAAAGATGCCTCTATGAGGGGGCAATGAACTAGGCATATCAAAGAGGCACTTGTATTGTTCCATTAAAAAAGTTAATGTAGGATGAATATCAGTACCTTGAGTTACTTGTATACTGTTGCATTGCATATCAGAGGTTGCATCTGTCACCAAGGTTAGCATAAAGACCTGAACTAAATCAGCACTCTTTTTATTTAAGGATTGGGCCTTGGTGGTCTTGATCTGGCTACTGGCTCCCCTTAAAACATGTTTCCTCCCTAGATGCACAAACTCAATAGTTCTATTTCTGAAATCAAACAAAATCCTACCCAAAGTGTTTAACCATTGCACACCCAACACTATGTCAACATTCCCTAATGGTAGTAGTAGGAAATTAGAAGAAAAAGTTGTACCCTGCAATAACCACTTCAGATTTTTACACACTGCAGCAGTTTGAACCTTCCTACCATCAGCCACACTAACTGATTGCTCATGTATAGGCAAAGCTTTTACAACCTAACTTCCTTGCCATTGACTAATCAATGAAATTATGAGTACTACCTGTATCAATAAGCACCTGTAAGGGTTGTTTTTCATGGTATCCAGTTACTCTAATTGTTTGATACCCTGTACTTCCAGTAAATACTTGTAAGGAAATTGGCATGCACTCACCCACTTCTAACACTTCTTCCTCCATGATTACCTCCCCATCCTCCAGAAATTCAACCAAACATAACTGTTTCTTGGATTTACAAACATGCCCAGGCATATACTTCTCGTCACACAAGAAGCACAGTCTTTTAGCCCTTTTCTCATCCATCTCAGCAGCAGTCAATAATCTTCTACCAGTATTACCATTACTGAACGTGTTAGCATTAGGTTCATAAGGTTTCTTGACAGCTGTGCTAGAGAAAGTAGGTTTTTGTACAACCTGAAACCTAGATGGAGTAGGGAGAAGACCATTTTGATTCCTGCTATTTCTAATTCCCCAAGACTTAGCATGAGCATCAAAAACCTCTTCGTGCAACTTAGCTAACTTGTAGGCTTACATTAAGGTTTTGGGTGCTTGCATTCTAATAGCCTTGTTGAGCTCAGTTTTTAACCCTCCTATAAAACAACTAATAGCATTTTCGTTTGACAAATTAACCCCATTCAATAACCTATCAAACTCAGCCTGATATGTTCTAACATCCTCAGTTTGTTGTAGATTTTTAAGAGCTTCCATGGAATCTTCAAATTCTTCCCCAAATCTTTCATTAACAACCAACACATACTTAAACCAAAAAGGGTCTATAACTGTGTTCCTAGACTTCAAGTATGATCTATGCCAAACAATAGCTTCACCATCCAAATGGATAGAAGCTACTCTCACCCTCTGATCATATGGAACTTCATCCATAGCAAAAAACTGATCCACATTATATAACCATGCCCTCAAATTCGATCCCGAAAATCTAGGAAAATCAAGTTTAGAACATCGGATAAGAAATTTACCATTAGAATTTTGGAAATTCCCAGCTGCATAGCAAAACCCCTGTTCTCTGTCTCCACCCACAGATGATACAACTCTATTCTGATCCATCTCCTTGTCCTTCTGTTTCGCATTTCCTAGGGCTTGCTTGATCTCCATTAATTCCTTATCTGTCTGTACATTTCTATCATTGATATTCACCATACCTTCCATCAACTTTTGCAATTGTTCCTGTATCTGAGACAATTTTCCCTCCATTTCCTCTGAAGATTTGTCTTGATTTTTTTCCCAAGCCACCATGATTTCTTAGCCGAGGACCAGCTGCTCTGATACCAATTGATCCAATTAACAGTAATCGAAAGGATAATATCAACTAGGAGGCTGAACCTCGAAGAAGAAGATAGCTATATCAGGGCAATTCCGAGATAGAAGCTAAGAAGAACAGAGTAAAAGAGAGAGAAGAAGAATTATCATATATCATTTCATGCCTTAAAAATTGTATTACATCTGTATTTATAGAGTTGAATTGTAAGCTAAAGCTACAATCTACTGAAATAACTGCTTCTAACAACTCTAACAAACAATGAACAGTGATAACTGTTTTTGTGACTAATGAACAGTAGTAACTACTTGTTAATATTCCTAATCATCTACGCTCATCTATGCATTGTATCACAGAACCATTTGAATCTATGACGTTTTGGCCGAAGACTTGAAACTTTTGGAGGTACAAGATCATTCTTCTATTTCTTATCAAGCTTTGTTTGGTGGAGATTTACCAACTACTTTGCATTTTATTGGCATTGTTAATGGTTCTCCAATTCAAATACTTATGGATGGGGTAGTACGCATAATTTTATACAAGCAAGGGCAGCCAATTACTTGCACATGGTGGTTGAATCCATTCCTAGTTTTTCTGTGGTAGTTGGCAGTGGCCAATGTCTCTGTTGTGATGGGGTTGTGCGGGAGTTCCTTTACACATTCAGGGGTATGATTTGCATATGGATCTGTATGTTTTATCTCTTCATGGAGCAGATGTGGTTTTGGGTGTCTCATGGTTAGCAACATTGGGACCAGTTGTCACTGACTATGCAGCCCGCATCTTTGAATTCTCCATGAATGGTTCTCCTGTTCGTTGGGTGGGGGACTCTCCAACTGAGCTGCAACGAGTACAACTCCATAGTTTGTGGCATTTGGCCTCCACGGATGCCATTGCTTCTTTTTATTGCTTAAAGTTAACTAATACTAGGAACACAAGCTTCATTGATAAGCCTCTTCTATTAACGCCTCTGTTGGAATCCTTTGCTGATGTTTTTTATATGCTCCCCAGCTTACGACCAATGAGATTCCAGGATCATGCTATAGATCTAATGCCTGGGGCCGGGCCTATAGATGTCAAGCTATATCGCTACCCCTATTTTTAGAAGCAAATTATGGAGCAACTTGTGACAGATATGCTCAATGATGGAGTTATTTGACCAAGTAACAGCCCTTTCTTATCTCTTGTGCTTCTTGTACAAAAGAAGGATTGTACATGGCGTTTTTGTGTGGGCTACTTTGAATGTCATTACTTCATGGCACAAATTATTTTTCAAAGCTTGACTTATTGTCTGGATACCATCAGATTCGTGTCCAGCCTGATGGCATTACGAAAACAGCTTTTCGAACTCATGAGGGGGACTATGAGTTCTTGCTAATGCCCTTTGAGTTATCCAATACACCGTCCACTTTCCAGGCTACTATGAATGAGGTATTTCGGCCTTGTCTTCGCCATTTTGTGTTGTCTGTTTTCGACGACATCCTTGTCTATAGTACAAACTTGAAGTCCCATTTGGAGCATCTCACCACTGTCCTAGAGCTTCTTTGCTCTCGCCAATTGGTGGCTAAAAGGAGTAAATGTTTATTTGGCTAAAAGACCATTGATTATTTGAGGCATGTGATTTCTAACAAAGGTCTCGTTGTCAATCCAGGTAAAATCATAGCTATCCAACAATGGCCAGCACCTAAGTCGGTGAAGGACGTTCGGGGTTTTTTAGGGCTCACTCGCCAACCAAATGCCACTCTTTTTGCTCTTTCTATCCAAACTTTTTCATTGGAACATGGGCTAAAGGCTTTGAATCAATCTCATTCAAACCTCTTAGCCATCCAACGAACACTCACTACACAGTCCTCTGACTAAGCTGGCTATGTTTTTTGTGAAGGACTGCTCTTTCACTGTGGCAGATTGGTTATCCCGGATGACTCTCCTTTATGCTAATGACTGCCATATGAGTTTCACTCCACTTCTGTAGATGGACATGCTGGGATAGCTGGTACCTACCATCGTTTGGCATCAAATTTCTTTTGGAAACACATGCGACGGGATGCTCGGACTTACTTAGCTTCTTGCCAAGTTTGCCAGCAAATGAAGAGCTCTCACCAGCTTCCTGCTGGTCTCTTATAGACCCTCCCCATTCCTGAATTGGTCTTTGAGGACATCGCCATGGATTTCATCACTTGCTTGCCTAGTTCTAAAGGAAGATCCACCATTATGATAGTTCTGGATAGTTTTCTAAGTATGGTCACTTCATTCCATTAGCGTCGACTTTTACCACTAATATTGTCGCAGAAGGTTTTGTGACTCAAATTATTTGTCTTCATGGACCTCCTTGCGGTATTTTCACTGAGAGGGACCCTCGTTTTTTACATTCCTTCTGGCAAGAGATCAATAGATTGCAGGGGACCTCGCTTGCTATGAGCACCGTCTATCATTCTCAAACAGACGGGCAATCTGAGGTTCTTAATAAGTGTGTTGAGAAATATTTGAGGTGTATTGTTGTTGATGTCCCCACTGACTGGGTTGCCATGTTGCCACAGGCCGAGTATTGGTACAACACCTCCTATCAATCTTCCGCGGGCATGACCCCTTTTCAGGCTGTGTGGCCGTGAACCTCCTATAGTAGCACATTACATCTTGAGAAGTACTTCCAGTTACTTAGTCGAAGCCTATTTAGTGCAGCGTGATGAGGTTTTGACCTTGCTCAAACAGAATCTTAGCAAGACTCAAGTTCGCATGAAGAAATTCGCTGATGCCAAGTGCACTGAGGTCACGATTGGGTCTATGTCAAATTAAAACCTTATCCTCAGACTTATCTCAGGGAGCTGCCCTCTCACAAGTTGGACATCCGTTTCTTTGGGCCTTTCCAGATTCTTAAACGAGTTGGAGAAGTTGCTTACAAGTTAGAATTACCGGAGGCTGCCCGGATTCATTCTGTTTTTCATGTTTCTGTGCAAAGATGCTGCGTGGGCAGCCCAACACAACAAATTATTCCTTTGAACTTAATTAACTGTGATCCTCCCATCTCGAACCTTGAGGACAATTTTCTCATTGAGAAACAAAGTATTGTTATGAATGAAAATAGTGAGGTGGAGACCAACGTGGCTGAACAAATTGTGCCAGCTAGGCACACCACACGAGTTAAGAGAAGGCCAAAAACATTAACTGATTTCGAATAAAAGGTTGGGAAAAAACATGTGAAGGAATCTGAAAGAATGTGGGCACTATGAATTAGTTATAAAAGAAGTGATAGTAGTAGCAAAGTAGGGGTTTATTGTTATAGAAATTTTCCGACTCTCTCATCCCCAATTCTGAGAAATGTGAGCTTTTCATCCCCCTTCTTTTCTATCTTATATTTCAATCTTTTATCGTTACTTTCATTTGTTGCATTCTCTAATATAAGGTCAGTTGTAATTGAGTCCTATTTTCAAGTAATATAAGCAGTAGTTGGGGTTTTACTGTTACAGTAGGAGAAAAAGAAACTATGAGCTACCTAAATCATACTACTAGAAGTACGACAACACTCGACTCCCTACTAACCTTCTACTCAAATCATTGACCTCCATACCTTCCTATTTAAACACATGAGACCTTAGAACAAAGTAGAAGTAACATGAGAGATCAGTCATAACTTAAGAGATTTATACTGGGAAAATAATCACAAGTTCCGAAGTTATCAACCTCCCCCCCTCCTCCCAAGAAGAAAAAAACTCTACTGGAAATGTAGATGCATGTTAACACAAGAGGAAAACAACTTCAACAAGGTGAAAACAATTGAATTATCCGAACAAGTTCGGACTGCATACCTGACTTGTATGGATGGAAGGTTGAGGAAGTTACCCCTGCAATGGAGAAGAAGTAGGCTTGTGCAGATGTTTGCCACTTAGAAAGAAGCTTATGTGCTTCTCAACCGAAGGCAGTTTCTCCTTGTGAACAAGATTAATATCGTGTTTGTTAAGCCACAAGAAAAGCATAATGCGTTCAAGCGTCATCTTGAACATCTTGAGTTTTTCAATTCTCTCATTTGGAAGACTCTGATTAAGAGAGTCATGCATAAAATCAGAAAAAAAAGAATCAGTTCAGTGAGTTTTGTTTCTTTCCCTTTGTAAACCTTTTGAAATTCATGCTTCAAGAACCTCCCACGGCAACGAAAAAGGGAGGAAAGTTTAAGTAATGACATAAAGAGACAAATAACATAGCTCGCAAGGTTCACACAATTCAGCAGAATGTTGACTCAGGTGCTATTAGATTCAGATAAATCAAGTGCTTTCCCGAAGAACTAGGGAAGCCTTAATTCCTGTACTGAAAGCAAAACAAACAACCATAAAATGACTTGTGAAAATAACTCTTTATGATGTCCACTACCACCTTGACTTTCACAATCATTCACAATGCTTCAACAGAAACAAATGATGCAGATGCTAGAAATGAAAAGGAATTAGCCGCATTACAACATATTCCCACTATGAGAGCACTGTTTCTCAAGATGACAATCAACAGGAAAGGAACCAAAGAAGCAAAAGTGCTAATTTAGTGTTTTGAGCTTTCTGCATCAGTTCTCAGTTTGAGGAGTTTCCAATAAGGAAATAACCAATTATTAGAATGCAATATGCATTACACCTTGGTGCATGCTATATGCAAATTATGGTGTGTCATTTTACAGAACTTGCAAAGGAGCCAACCAAAATTTGAAACTATGATGAAGCACTTAGAGGGATGTTAATAACATACCTGCTGCACTTTAGAAGCAATTTTCTCATATAAATCATTGACATCTGATAAATACATTTCCTTCATAGACTTGATCTGCATTACAAATTTTCAATAAGTTAATTGCAGAAATGTCAAGAATGCATTCCCATGTGGTTAGGTGATAATTAGATCAACTGTACGATACAATAGAGAACAAACTAGAGAATCTTCACAAAAGAACCTTCCAGATAAAAAGGTTAAAAGTGAAGTAGAAGAGGAAGACTACAACTGA